TAAACCCTAAAGTTGGCGTAGGGAGGAAGGAAAAGTAGTGTACTAAAGTTAGTTTTTTTTTTTTTTTTTTTTTTGAGGAAGTAATAAAATCTAGAGACTGACCTTTTGAATGATATCTTGAGCTTGATTGGCATATTTGACAGCCCCTTCAGCTAAATTTTCTATTGAATCAAGATGTTCTTTAAGCTTTGAATCTCCTGGAAGTTTCTCTTCAATTTCTTCAGCAATTTGATCTACTTTCTCAGCAACTTCTTCCACTATTTCACTCATATCTTCCACTGTTTCTACTGCTTGTTTCACATTATCTTCAAATGCAAAATTCAGAATATAAATATATACCAGTTCCTATAAACATTATGATAATTAATAATAAGGATTCACATACTTCATATAAAAGTTTACATACTTTTGAGTAGTTGTAGAGGACTGACTTTGTTCCTAAATGAAGGTAGTATTAGAGGTATAAGAAACCCCAACAACCATTTCCTGCATATAATAACATATAAAAACTTCAAGATTTGATAACCCCAACAAAACCTTCAGTAGACATATTTCTAGGGTTTGATCATATGTTTATTATTGTGTATATTTAGTGTATGATCTATGTATACCTGATAAAAACCTTAAATCTGATAGGCTAAAAAGGCAGCCTGATTCACAAAACTTCCGTTATGTGCTGGGTCCGGGAAAGGGCCGGACCACAAAGGTCTATCGTACGCATCCTTGCCCTGCATTTCTGCAAGAGGTTATTTTCACGGCTCTAACCCGTGACCTTATGGATAATGGCAACAACTTTACTAGTTACGCCAAGGATCCCGTCGTAAATCTGACAGGCTATTTGTGTAAAATTCTCAAAAAGAAAAAAAAAAGAAAAAGAAATTAACTCTACCATCCAAAGAATGGAGATTTGCCAGGAGGTGGAGCATCTGATCCAGTACTGTTGGCTGAGTTGCACTTCACACTAATAAAAAAAATTGCATACTTTGTTAACAAATGGAATTTATACAACAGAAAAAAGGGGGAAAGAAAATTAAACCTACGTAAGTATTCCATTTTTTGCATTGGGATTGACGAAATTGAAACGCTTGTTGATCTTTTTTAGATGGGATTTTCTACATTGCACAGGCCTTGAATATGGAAAATGGGATTTTTGGGATATACTTTGATTGCATGAAAGATTGTAAAGTGGATTTGAATAAGTAATTTTGGTGGACATTTTGATTGACTCTAAAACTTAGAGATCGAAATAACCATTAATTTTCTATACGAACTTTAATTTTTCCAAGAAGAAATATATATATATATATATGGAGAGCCTTGGTTTTCAGTTAGTGGGCTGTACTCATGTGCGATGAGTATATAATTTAATTATATAAACAGGCAATGTTTTCTTCGTCAGCATTAAAATTAAATAATCATGTCGAATGAAAATGCTGTGCACATGGAAATTATTAATTCCAAGTTGTAATTCTACAAAGAATAAAGTCTGTACTATTTGATGGGTTTTCGGATATCTAATTATTGTGTCATATCAAAATCAGAAGAAATTTATATAAAAGAAACAAATGCAGACAGAGTGTATATTCATTGTATTTATTTTATTCTTTCAACAGATCCAATTATATCAGTTTGAAATTATTGGTATTTCCTAGAAATAATAAAAAGAAACCAATTTAGTTTTTATTGTTGACTTATATATTTGTTTTTTGTCTCAACAACCAGAGAACATGATTCACGATTTCTCTTCTCTTGCCCCCTTAATATCTATTTTTTGAAGTAATACGCAAGGTATTAATATAAAAAAGATGGTGACATTAAGAATAAAATACAATTCATTTTAAGGGAAAACTGTTGAGAGTAGTATAAGTAGTGTTACATAACTTAATCATAGTTACAATACTAATTAGAGTTTATACCAACAGTTAATAGTTAGTTACATTAGTTAAAGTTGTATATATATACTTGTAACCGTATAGCTGAAGTATGAAATGAAGATTCAGTTTCCCCTCTTCTCTTCTCTCTCATTCTCTGCTGTGATCACTATGTTCCTTTGAATCAGATCTCATCAGTGCCTAGGAGGATAACAAGACTTGGGAGATAGTATCTTTACCCGAAGGAAGAGAGCCATAGGGTGTAAATGAGTATACATAATTAAATACAAAAACAATTAGAGAGGTTGAGAGGTTAAGGCAAGACTTGTAGCTAAATGATACAATCAGAAAGAAGAATTAGATTACCAAGAAATATTCTCACATGTGGTGAAAATGGTGACTGCTAGGAGTGTGATTGCCTTAGCTACTGCCAAGCATTGGACAATCAACCAAATGAATGTCTACAATACTTTTTGGCAAGGTGACTTGACTGAAGAAGTGTTTATGTGCATTCCTCCTGGTGTTGCTGGCTCTAACAGCAAGTCACTCTATGGTCTATAACAAGCCTCTCGACATGGAATATCAGACTCACCACAATACTCGTTGCTTCAGGATTCCAACGGAGTTACCTGGACTATTCCTTGTTTACTAAAAAAGCTTCAGGAAAATTGGTAGTGGTCTTGGTGTATGTGGATGATCTCCTTATCACTAGTAGAGATGATCTACAGATAATACAATAGACCAAATCACAGCTGCAACATAATTTTAAGATCAAGGATTTAGGAGAGCTTAAATAGTTCCTGGGGATTGAATTTGCTAGAAATGCAAGAGGTATTATAATGCATCAGAGAAGGTATGCATTGGAACTAATTGTTGATTTGGGATTGTCAGTGTGCAAGCCAGTTAATTCTCCTTTGGAACTGAATGCCAAGCTAACCACATTGGAGTTTGACACACACACAAGTTCTGCAATTGATGACACTCTATTGGTTAATCCTGGGCCATATCAAAGTCTACTTGGTAGATTGTTGTACTTGACTATCACAAGACCTGACATTTCATTTACAGTCCAAACTCTAAGTTAGTTCATGCAAAGTCCTAAGTCCTCTCACATAAGCTGCCCTTAGGGTCGTTAGGTATGTAAAGCATTGTCCTGGTCTAGGGGTGTTAATGATGTCTCATGTCACGATTCAATTCCCACTATAGACCGTGATGGCGCACAACCTCGCCGCTAGACAAGCCAACGATTAATATAAGAAAGATGGTTACACTAATAATAAAATACAAATTTATTTAGAGGGAAAACTGTTGAGAGTAGTATAAGTAGTGTTACATAACTTAATCATAGTTACAATACTAACTAGGGTTTATACCTACAGTTAATAGTTAGTTACATTAGTTAAAGTTGTATATATACACTTGTAACCGTATAGTTGAAGTATGAAATGAAGATTCAGTTTTCCCTATTCTATTCTCTTTCATTCTCTGCTGCGATCACTTTGTTCCTTTGAATCAGATCTCATCAGTGCCTTGGAGGATACCTAGTCTAGGGGTGTCAATGATGTCTCATGTCACGATCCAATTCCCACTATAGGCCGTGATGACGCCCAACGTCGCTTCTAGGCAAGCCAACAGTGAACTGTCCATGCAATTATTCATTTTAATTATTTTTAAAGTAATTGATTTTATTTAATCAGGGAACTATTAATGGAAAATTATAGTAAAACCAAAAAACCAAATAACGAAAAGATTAAAGTAGAGAACTTGATACCCAAAACTATAAAATGTCTACTAGAATACTCCCAAAATCCGGTGTCACAAGTGCATGAGCAAACTAGCAGAATATACAAAACCTCCTATACTACTGTCTGGAATAAGATATACAGAAAATAAATACAATAAGGAGAGACTTCGGGCGCTACAGAACGGGCATAGAGAGCAGCTCACCACTAAGCCTCTGGGTAACGGGGGTACGCGCCTGAAGGACCGCCAGATGCACCTACCTCAGATCCTGCACGATTAGTGCAGAAGTGTAGCGTGAGTACATAAAGAATATGTACCCAGTAAGTATCTAGTCTAATCTCGAAGAAGTAGTGACGAGGGGTCGACATCGACACCTACTAAGGGCCAATAAATAAAGTACAGAAATTCTAAATAGGCATGGAATACATCAATAAGAGTACCGCAACAATGAACAATAAATAAGTGATTCTTTAACTAGATGTAAATTAAAATCTCCAACTAACACATACTAACTTTAACAAATAAGAGCCATCAAGTAAATTATAGTTTCTCAAGTCATGGAAGAAATATCAAGTATAATCGGACTCCGAGCAATACCACGTATGATTTATGCTGAGGTCGTACGATCCGATCCAGAATAATGTGTACATTGCTGAGGGTCGACCAACGTGAACCATAGATGCATCTATTATACTACCGAGGCGTTCGGCCTGCTCCACAAGAAGAGAGAATACTATACGAACTCCGATTTAATGGCTAGTACATGAAGAATACACAGAGAAGTACAATTTCTACTAGCGGTCTAGTAACCTGTCAAAAAATCCCAAGTAATGAAGTTCGGTCTTTACGCATCCTTCATCAAGTGTCAATATAATTTAAGTACTTAAACTAACAAGTAGAGTACAACTAATACAAGTATCACATGTGTCACGACCCGGATTTCCCACCATCGGGAGTCGTGATGGCGCCTACTAATAGGAGCTAGGCAAGTCAATTGATTTAATATTACTCTTAACATCATCAACAAATATAAAGATCAACGAGACAGTTAATATAAAAGCGGAAGTATTTAGAACTTAAATAACTGAAAACCCAAAAATTTGCGAAAGTTAACATTTCTCTACCCAAGACTGGTGTCGCTAACTCACGAACTACTAAAGAGTGCTAAAAACAAGTCAGAACAGAAATACACCAATGATTGTCTCGGTACAAGGAAAACAAACAAAAAACATGGGAAGGGACCCCGGCCTGCGAACGCCAGCTAGGCTACCTCGAAAGTCCCTGGACTGATGCCAGCTCCCAATCAACTACTGATGTGGTCCAAAAGCTGCTCCGGTACCGTGATCTGTGCAAAAGAGCACAGAAGTGTAGCATCAGCACAACCGACCCCGTGTGCTGGTAAGTGCCTGGCCTAACCCCGGCGAAATAGTGACGAGGCTAGACAGGACCACCAATCAACCTGTGCAGATATATATGTGTACAAGTACTACAAAAATAACAGCGGAAAATAGTAACCAAGACTGGAAGGGGAAAAATATGCTTTTGGGGATAACGGATAAAAATAGAACGGTAGGAGTACATAAGGAAAAATCACAACTGGTTCCTTCCAACACAGATTACGTGGACGGCGTGCCACACGATCCCATCTTACAATATATAAGTAGCCGGCGTGCCACACAATCCCATTTTATAATATATAAGTGGTCGCCATGCCACACGATCCCATTTTATAATATATAAGTGGTCGGCGTGCCACACGATCCCATTTTATAATATATAAGTGGTCGGCGTGCCACACGATCCCATTTTATAATATCAACAGTTCTTCCAATGAAATTTACTCCATGCAACGCAACAATTTATACGAATTCATAAGACAACAAGTACACAATAATTATGACCCACCGAAGAAAACAAGTAATGACAAGTAACACAATAAAGAAAAATGCCAACATAAAGAAACTCAGTAATAGCGGAATAAGACAACTAATGCACTTGAACCGATAACAACAAGAAAATCAATAAATAGAAGTAGAGGACAACGTAACTCAATTATCAGCAAAAACATCAGGAAAATCAAAGGCAAGTGTACGGCATCACCCTTCGTGCTTTTACTCTCGTACTCACCAAAACAATCAAATAAAGTGCACGGCATCAACCTTCGTGCTTTCCCTCACATAACTCTCATATCATGGCACAGAATGATCCTCGTGCAATTGTAATCAAATCAGAGCACGGAATGTTCCTTCACGCATAAATAATCAAAACATGGCACGGAATGACCCTTCGTGCAAATATAATCAAACATGGCACGGAATGTTCCTTCGTGCATAAATAATCAAAACATGGCACGGAATGACCCTTCGTGCATATCACTCTTCCTCACCCAAACAACAATCACAAACAACAGGGCGAGGGGATAGACAAACAACATTAAATATCCCGGCAAGGGAGCAACAACAATATGTTCAAACATCCTGGCAGGGGAGATAATCACATCCCTTTTTACTACGTTCATTCCTTACTTTATAATCGGGTCAAAAATCGAGCCAACGCTCCAAGCAGTTCACAAATCATATTTCCTTCTCATTCCTTCCATATCATATAAAAACCACCAATTAACAAGGAAGAGTCACTACCGAATCCCAAATAAGCACAAATAAGGACTCACGGTCATGCTAGACACCGGTGTACAGATACTCGTCACCATGCCTATACACCGTACCCAACATTTAGCAATTAGCAAATAATACTCTAATCCTATTCCCTCAAGCCAAAGTTAGATCGAACACTTACCTCGAATGCTCCAAACTCAACTCAAGCCTCTAGTATAGCTTTACCCCTCGAATTCGGCTCCAACTCAGTCAAATCTATGAAATAATGACTTTACAATATTAATAATAGCTAAACAAACTAAACCCAATACTTAAATATAAATTTCCAAGCTCTCTTCTAAAAATTCCAAAATCGCTCCCGGGCCCGCTTGGTCAAAACACGAGGTTCGAACCAATTCCATGTTACCCATTCCCCCACGAGCCCGAATATACAATTTGTTTTCAAATTCGACCCCAAAACGAGGTCTAAATTCAAGAAAATCGAAAAGCCCTAACACTACCCATTTCCCCCAATTTCAACCCTAGATTACATGTTCTAGGCCTAGGATTTCATTGGATGATGATAGAAAATGAAGAAAATGAGTTAGGTAATACTTACCCAAGAATATTTGGTGAAGAAATGCTCCAAGGATCGTTACAAGGCTGTGGAGAAGAAAGGTTTTCGTGAAATGGAGAAAAATCCCGAAATGGGTTCTGTTTTGGGTATTTAAAATCGCTGGACAAATTTGCCTTTCGCGTTCGCGACATGGGGGTCGCGTTCGCGAAGAAGGGGGGCTGGGAAGCACCGCGTTCGCGATAGGGGGAGTGCGAACGCGTGAGGAGACACGCGAACGCGTTGAAGGAAGCAGCAAAGCTTTGCGATCGCGATGGCCAGAACGCGAACACGAAGGAGAAAAGGGAGCAAGGCTATGCGAACGCGGGAGGGCTAGTGCGAACGCGATGAAGAAAATCCCTGTGTAAAAATTGCAGAAAATCTGCTAACTCCCTAAGTCCAAAACTACCCCGAAAACCTCCGAAAACACTCCCGAGCCCTCGGGGCTCCTAACCAATCACACACACTAACTCGACAACATCTTACGGACTTAACCATGCGATTAAAGCGCCAAAATAACATAAAAAACGAGGAATCAAACCTCAAAATCATCACTTTTTCATCAAACTTCATAAACTTCAAATTTTAGATATTTGGGTCCGAGACACGTCAAATGATGTCCGATTTCAACCAAATATCACAGAAAGTGCTTAAACCATATATAAGACTTGTACCGGGCGTCGGAACCAAAATACGAGTCCGATACCACAGTCTTTTAATCAATTTTCATTTCAAATTTTCATATAAATTTCGGAAAAATAATTTCACAGAAAAATTTATTTCTCGGGCTCTGGACCTCGGAATTCGACTCCGGGCATATGCCCGAGTCCCATATTTTTCTACGGACCCTCCGGGACCATCCAATCACGGGTCCGGGTTCGTTTACCAAAAATGTTGACCAAAGTCAACTTTAATCATATTAATATCAAAATTCATCATTTTTCACACAGAACTCATATTTAAGCTTTTCCGGCTACGCGCCCGGACTGCGCACGCAAATCGAGGCAAGTAAAAATGAGGTTTTCAAGTCCTCGGAAGCACGGAATAAATGAGGAAACAGGTGATGACCCCTTTGGGTCGTCACATCCTCCACCTCTAAAACAATCGTTCGTCCTCGAACGGACAAAAGAAAGAA